TGAAGTGAAAGAAGGAGTCAGAGGTGAGGAGGATAGGCTATGTTTTATTTTGTCTTGAGTGCTGGTGGTGACATGTAGGCGGTTGACTTCTCGGCTTCGCACATCATAGAAGGCTATTTCTTCTTAAGGCGGGTGAAAGGGAAGAAGGTTTGTGTGACAACAGAGTCCATTAGACATCTGCTACAGGCCTGTGAGTTGTTGTTTATGGGTCTGGTTGTTCTAACACCGAACAGACAGATCTCATATCGCCGGCACCGAAAGAACTTGAGGCCAGGAGGAGCGTGGCATTTTTGAGGTCGACCTTTTCTAATCCTTCCTTCCCATTGTGAAGGTACCATCAATGTGTCATTGGTGGTCACCTAAGAAAAACACTTTACTGCTGTCACACCCCATCCAGCTAGCAGCAGTACGACTTCGCACTCAGACCCCCATCATTGCGACGGTAACTGCTTTTCGGCTTACTACTATCGAACAGACCTCTCTGTGTTATGCAAACGGGACCACCACGTCAAGGTAGCAGCTGTCGACCATGATGTGCTTCCAGAAAGCTTCCCTTCAGTATGACATCTAACTCAACTATTCTGGGTGCTTTACATTTTCGGGCATTGACGCTGATTGTACTGTGAACTTGTTTGTCCGGGAGTCGGGAAAGCATCACCATAAATATTTGTTGTACTTTGAAGACTCGCTTTTATAATTCATCCAAGTGAACTGTTTTGAGTAATTTCTCTGTCTGTCTGCTGGTAAAGTGTATTCGGTGTGCACTTACCGTAAGATCTTATGACATCATCAGCAGCGGGCTTTGCTGGTTTAACTGCTGATCATGGACGTGGAGGGGACTGTAGATTGCTTGTCTGGGGTCGTAGCGATGATAGAAATCAAAATGGTTGGAGACTTGGTGATATGGGTGAAAGCCTGTCAAAATAGTGTAGGTGTATAGACTGTGTGATATTTGGACTTTTGAATATGTTCGTGCATCTTGATTTATTTTTCTGCCTGTGAAACTGGCGTAGCCTACTATCATTCTTCTCCTATCCACTTATTTTTGGCATGCACTTGTGGAGTGTAGCAATTCGTAGTGATGGGCTTATGTGCCGGGTTTCAAATTGGTTTGCCCGTGTCTCTGTGATGTCAGTCAAGTGTGTTTGTCAGATATTGTGGTGTTAACTCGTGACTTGAATTTGCGATTTGAGCATGTTGGCTGAGAAGTCTTTTAAGCGGCTAATAGAGATTAATCGGTCGCACGTTAAATGATACGAACCGTCTTCTGCACATGTGTACAGACCACAACCTATTTTCAGTCAGCAGCAATTTGTGTCAGAACCATTGTCACTCTGGTGCTGGATCTACTCGTTGATACTCAAGTCCAGACTCAGGGTAATCAGGTTAAAACTAGCTACCGGTGGTTGGTTGCACTGATGATAGCGGCTCCTCTTAGGACACCTGTGTGTGTGTGTGTGTGCTAAGTCCATCTGGCGTTTTGTTTGTGACAAAATCTTTTTAAAGTGATCTGCGTATGGAAATGAGTTGTTTTCGGTTTCTCAACTAAATACCAATCTGAGCTAGATTCAAAGGTAGTTGTCGAACCTCCATTAAGTATAGATGTGCATTTGGTAGATTACAGTAAACCATGAAGATAAAGATGGTGAGTAGAGGTGCTTTTGACTTTGAAGAAAGTCCAGCCAATGAATACTGGATGTTTGCAAACCTTTTTGAAATTTTGATGCTGCTCATTGTATTTTAGTAGACAGTGCGTAATGTGTAGGGATGTGCCTAAGTTTCTTACACGATAGATTGCGCAACAGTTAAGTCTGGACCGTTAGGCCTGGTGGTCTGAACTTGCTAGTGGACTGGAACTAGTAGTTGCATCTGGAAATGGTTAGAAGCTGTTCTAGTTATTGTATATGACCGGCCGCAAGAAGTATCAGTGAGATGGTCGGCGAAGTAGATGGTGTACCGATTAACAGCCTTTGTAGACACTCGGGAAGCTGCGCAGTACACTTTGAAGTTCGATTTAGCTACTCTAATGTTCACTGTGCTTTACCCTATAGTTGGTTAGCTCCAACCTTTCTAAGGGAGCGGAGGTTAGTAAAGAACTTCAAGTTCTTAATCGTCCGCCATAAGGTGCGTGACCCAACTTATCCATTGGGTTTTTTGTGATGGAGGTGAGATTGTAGCTAGGGGACTGACTGCATTGTTTGATGAGGTATAGCAGACTGAGACTGTTCCATCACTCTAGAATGTATTTACCTGTACTCATCTTTAAAAGGGTGTGTATGATATCCATCATCCTGCTACCAGTCGCGTTTAAAATATTGACCACTGTCATACTTTACAGGCTCTGGAAAGCGTTTGAAAACTAATCCGGTTAGAGCAGGCCAGGTTTCCCTCAGGTTGTGGATGCATGGGTCAAGTGTTCACCCTCCGTCAGAGGCTGAAACATTGTCACACATATTGCAGACCAAGGGTCGTTATATTTCTCTATATTAGGGTTATCTCCGATTCGTCAAAAAAGTCTGTGCTATGGAATTGTCGGTAATCAGAAGGTCTTGAGAAGTTTGTTAACATATTGAAGACCCTATGCAAAAACAGCCCAAGTAGATTGAAGGCATACAACCACATTTCTTCTTTATTCCAAACTAGAGATTAAATAGGACTGCCCGATTTCACCCTTCCTCTGTAACCTTGGCATCGATTACTTTCTCAAGACAGCTTTGAAGGAGGTGCATGTTGGTATAGCTATCTCACCAGATGAAACTTGAATCTAAAGTATGCAGACGACATCTTTTCGCTGTTATAACAAACAAGCTACTGAAGTCCTACTCAGTTAGTTAGCGGTTAGTGTACTTAAGTACGGCATGTGTTTCGCGCCATCGAAGTGCAAGGTGCCCCTACAAGTTTGGTGGGAAAGCGTAATTGCATTCGTTTTTGTTAGTGAACCATTGAAAGCTGTCGAAAAGTTTGTTCCTGGTTAGTTATTTGAGTGCTGGCGAAGGTGTGACTAGGGGATTTCCAACTGTCTATAGCGTGTCATAGCGGCTTGTCAGTCTGGGCTACCTTTGATGCCGTCGTGACGTTAGCCGTGCTGTAAAAGTTCTGATGTACAACGTGAGTGGAAGCAATTTTGCCTTGTTCCTATGAAACCTAACTTCTCTGAGCTGAGAATGTTCTATGACTCTGCATGTTCAACCAGCGTCTTCTGTGTTGGATTGCTAGCATTCGATGTGAACAATCCTAAGATAATGCTTCACCTGTTTGGATATGATGGAGATGGTCACTTATTGAACGTGGTCATCTTGAAACACCAGCTTCTGTGACTTGAAAATGTGTTACTTATTTGGTTCCAGCGACTCCCTGGCCCGTTCACTGTTCACCCATTCTGGGGCTGATTGGAAGAAGCAGAGAGGTGACCAATGTGACTGGGGGATGAAGGATAGTCGTGTTGGATTAGTACATTGTGATGCCTCGCAACTCTAGATGGGGTCCGAGAGTTCACGCAACTCAGTGGCTTGAGACGATCACAGACAGCTTGGAATTGTAACCAGTGACGAACTTGCTTCAGACCTGTTGCTTCTTATATTTCCAGAAAGTAGAACAAAAGTATTGAATCTGTCCTCGAAAACTGCTCTAATAACCCGTCTGTATTTTTCCCCATTCTCCCCCCTTTTATCAATTTTCATCTTAATGCTACTGTATTACTTTGTATGACACATCTCCTGGCGACCATATCGTATCAGTTTTGTGTTTAAAAAATGTACAAAATTATTCACTAGTTTCTTGTGAGTAGTAAGATAAGACATACAATCTGATATCTTGTTCTCATCATGGTCAGTGGTTTCCGGCAATACCGTAGGATAATCATGGCTAAACCATTGTAACCTGTCATCCCGTCTTCAGAGAACCGCGTTTCTTTGGTATCTCTTCACCTTTTTAACTTCGTTTTAATGTCTCTTTCAGACGCTTGTTTAGTTGCGTAATCACCCACTGGGTATTTTCTTAATAAGATCGTTTCCATCTTGGGAAAAATCCCTTTAAAAAAATATTTTCCACAATTCTTACCTCTGCTTTCAAAATTTTGCTTTGATTGGGAGAAATATGTTGCAAGAGTGATGAATAGGGAAATTATATTGGCCACTTTATTCATTCAATAATTTTACACTTAAATATTAACATTCAGACTTACTGGTTCCATATGGCTTTAGTATTAATCCTCACTTCTGTTACCAATTAAGCTTGTGAGTGTTGAAGTCCCCCATGTTCCATTCTCTATCGCTTACAGATTCCTTTGTTCATTACTTGCGGAACGTTTAACTTTTGCTAACATAGTTTCTGATCTTGTAGAATGGTACCCGAAGTCATCTTTTGAGGTATCATGAAAACTAGTCAAAATATTCCTTACTGCTAAAGATCGTTTCTGAAGTGGGATGAAAGTTTCGAAAACTCTTCTTGTAGTTTATGAAACTGATCTCAAGTGTTAGTAAAAATAATACTTTGTCTAATGTTTACATTCAGAAGTCCCACTGGGTCAACTGTATACCTTCGGTTATTCGCTCATTGGATCACAGGTCCTAGTCTACCTGGAACGAATTCGTACATAGGCTCTCAACAGGTACTACTTTAATACGTCAAAAGTGAATATTTATAAATCTTTACTTAGTTTCCAAGTCTTTCAATGAAGAACGTCAATATGAAACTCAACTGAAATCTATATAAAGGAAAAGAAAGGTTTTCATCTCATATCAGAGACAAGTATCTAGTCCTTGTCTATCTGCCTTTTGACCATATTTATTTTTGCACCAGTCAATCAAACTATTAGTCTATCTGTCTGCATGTCAAAAGTACTTACGTTCGAAATTTAGGGTGCATAGTCCAACTTTTTTCACCTTTTCAGGCAAAATGACTCATAAATTTGTTTGGTTCAGTTATATGGGCACAGGTCGTAACTACTTATTGTTGAAAACAATTTGACTGATCTTCCAATACTTTTGGTGTTTCCAGGTATGTCTACAGACCAAGCCTACCGGAAATCAGGAAGCCCTGAGGCTTCTACAGAAGTCTCTTCTTTGCAGGTCAATCGGAGCAAGAATAAAGAAGGTAGGTCATCTGTTGTCAGCATTGCTCAACATTTCTCAGCTCTTGAAAAACGTCTTCGATCTAGACGTCCTGTAAAGGAGCTGGTCAATCAGGGAATATTACTGAACCGTACGTTGCATTTAAATCTTACCGATTTTTATCTCATTAGCTGCGATTTCCAACCCTGATAAAGTTCTACAGTTACAAAGAGCTAAGGTTTCTTGGAAAAACTCTTATCTCTAATATTGTGTTTCCTTTAGACTAGTGATTTATTAAAACGCAAAATTGAACAACGACCAGATAGACAATACCTTATCAGTCATCATATTTGAGAGGTAAGGTTTCATATCAGTTATAAGTTACCGCTGTAGATGATAAGCCGGGTACTTCACCTTTCATTCTTGAGCAGTGTCACAATTTGGAAAAGTCACAGTTAAAGGAAACGTTGGCTACCAAGCTCATTTCCAGACCTGGTTCACTGGAGCTAGTTGAAAAGGGTGTACTGCAGGTAAGTTAGTGTACTTATGATATTATTGAATTCGACCACTTGCTTTTGCTATTAGTAGTGTGAGATTTCGCAATATACACGCTATTCTTTTTTCACTTGGCAGCATTTTACTATGATTAACTAAATCTTCGGGTTATTTGTCATAAATAAATGATATTTACCTCATTAGTCCAGTCATATATTTCATAGTAGATGGATAATTCCAACAGATGTACCGAAACTGCTCCATTGAGATAAATTTCAAATGAACCTTACCAGTAACCGTGTATAAGATTGTATACAGGGATGTAAGTTGTATCTTTTGTATGAGAACCAATCAGGCTATTCAGTTATCCAGACTGAAGTGGAGTAGTACAGAGACGGTAACTAAATAGTTGTCATTGGGTTGCTCAGTCTTTTGAGTCGAAGGTATATCCATTCAGTTTGAGGGGGGAAGTGGGATTTCAGTTAGCATCGTTGTGTTAGCCGTTTGTATGATTAACCTTAAGAAGTATTTCTTTGAGTCATCTATGTAGTAAAAATATGTTATTTGGCGACGTTTTGCTAAAGTGATGGATTGTTTATGATCATAGAGATGAATTTTTAAAGAAGATATCTGGTGAAGCCATTATACTTCGTGCCCTGTGTCTTGATTCGATCACGTTATGTTATGTCCGTTATCATCATCTGTTGTTTGTTTTGAATATTTTTTCCAATATTAGGTGGATCCTGGTGTTGATTCGCTTATCAAACAAGGTTCTATCCCATATCCTAGAGTTGAACCAGTTTTATATCAGAGGACGTCAAGTGAGCGACTTCAACCTATTCAGGAGTTGGCCGCCATACCATCACCTCCGCCGCTTTCACTAAGTACAAAAACGCATAATAATTCTGTTCGTGCTACTTCCGGGAGGAATCGTTTTGTTATTTCAAACAAAACAGCTGGTAGTCGGGCTATTCGAGATGACACAGTTGTTTCAAAATTAGGATCATTAGTTTTTCATCAGTATTGCCCGGATTCGTCCAGTTCGTCTTCACCAAGCCTCTCAAGTATTTCATCACCTCAGCAAAAACAACTGGTACGAGAGCTACAACAGGCTGAAATGTTGCGTCTTCAGGATACGGCACGTGCTCATCGTTTGGTCGAACGGGAATTATGTGAGCGTGTGGGTATGACATACAATAAGCCAGCGCAAGATGATATATATGTGGATTTAACATCTGACTTATCACATCATGATCAAATAGATGGTCAACCAGCATCTTCCCATAATTCGAATTTGTTTTCAGCACACACTTCGCTATGCACTTCAAATGCAATTATGTGTCCTAAGAATCAGATATCTTCAACCAGTTTGCGGACTAATACCTCAAAAGTTTCATCATTGGACTCTACATTCAGTTCACCGAGTTTGGCTCATCTGAATCTTACTCAACTTAAGGGCGAATGCAAAAACAGAAACTTACCTCGAGTAGGTACTAAAATGCAACTAATGCGGCTTTTGGATCCATATCGCCATGAAATATTGGCTAAGTATTTCCCTAATTCTGTAATGCATTGGAATGAAGAAAGGAAATCGGAAACAAATGAACACTCCCAGCCATCGAATTGTGTCTTACAACAAACACAATCATCTCTTCAACATCAAGATCATGATCATATGCTTGAACTAAATAGTCGCCAAGCGTCTGAAGTAATTTCTGAGCGTCAAATGATAGGTGTAAATATCCGAGATTTTGACTCATTACTGCTTTCCCACACTGAGCCTGTGAGTGTTTGTACTACGATGCTTTCTTCTGGATCAACTTTATCGAAAGGCTTACAAGAATACTCTGATATAGTTATGGGATCCAATTGTTCCAATGTTTTAGTCGCTCAACCTTGTGTTCCGTTAAGACATTCTGTTTCTGCACCATTTTTTTCAGAAACCTCGTCCGAGTCATCCGCAGGTGAGTTTTTTTGTAGAAAATACTTCATTATTCAAGGATATTTTAAGATATACCAAATATTACTACTATATTATTCCTATTCAAACTTGTTTCTTAGACTACTTTTTGAAAAGAACCAGACTGGTGAAGTCGGAAGTAATTTTAGTATTTATGCACATATTTAATCTTCACATTTCCATTCACTCTACTCAGCTTTGAAGAACATAGGACACTATCAATAACACAACTATTCTAGAGTATGAACTCAGTAGCCTTAAAGGTATCTATATCGAAGTTAAGACTCAGTATTAGCCTTTCTAATCTCGAAAACACTTCATACTTCAATTATGTAAAGCGTATACTATACTGACGAGTTTTTATTACCACCCTCCATTCTTCCTGCCAGTTGTTTTTTATGGTAATTTCCTCATAGTTTAGTTCTACATATTAGTGTCCAGATAATGGTTTACTGTCTAAACTCACTTTTCGAGAAAATGCTTTCAGGATTTAGAACAGCAAGGTTAAAAGCATGGGGTTTAGGGAACCTATCTAGTCACGACTGAAAAGCTCATTAGCACTTATGAATCCGCTTAGGTTTATGGACGTCTTTAATTTGTTACATACATTATACACAACAAAGAGAAAACAAACTCGAGGAAGGTTTAATGACTAAAAACTATGATAACAGTAGAAGTGTAAGAAATATGGAAAAGGAGTGAAAAATAAGATGTCAGTTTGGAATGGCAAAACTTGACTTTGAGCTATATTACCTACACTTTCGAATTAATTTAGAGTAGTGGCTGACTCATGGACGCATTTGACTCTCAGCTGATGGATTGCACTTTCGAACCTCACTTCACGTACGGATTTTCGCATTCATGCAAATGGCGTAATCTGTAGTCTAATATACTAACTGGGGCGTGAATTTTAACTCGCATTCGCTGGTTTGCATTCACTATCACTTAATCTGAGTTTGAAATTTAGTGTTTTTTAAATGCTGATTTGCTTCATATTGACTCCTTGGAGAGTAATTTCAGAGTGTGACTCCATTCTGCGGCTCAAGGATTATTATGACATCTGGAAAATACGGTATAATGTTTCACCGTGTATATCGTCACTCAGTGTTAGTTGGAATAACTTTATTTTGGGAGAAGAAAAAGCGGAAGTCAAATAAAAGCATGACTGCACTCTATGAACTCACTGTCTGTCAGTCGGAGTATTGTATGAAGGCACCGACTACCTGTCTGGACCGTCGATATGTTGGTAACCAACTGTTTGAGTTTCCTAGTTAGACTTAAATATAGATCACAGTGATTCAGATATATTCACCTTCCTTTTAAGGTCATTTGTTTGTTCATCCCTTCACTTACACTTTTTTGTTGAATTTGATATCCTTGTTATTCATTTTTTATTTTTGCGTTTTTATGAAGTGCAGCAATCTGAACAGATTCAGTTGAATACGAGTTGTCACGTTGTCTGATCAAAATTGAGGTATTACAAATTCTCTTAAAAACTGGAAAAAAGTGGTCTGTCCTTGCGAATAATTTGCTCTTATGTCCTGGACAATTTACGTAGTGTAACGGCAGGAGACATATACCGAAGTAGGCCATTTTGTTCTTGGCTACGCTAGTGACTTTATTATGAGACATGAAATTGACTTTAAGTACGTAGACGACATTGTTAGGCAAAGATACTAATGAAATGCACGCTTCTGAACGCTTTGAACAGAAATCTGAGTGTGTTTGGCATGCATTTTGCACTTATCAAATGTGGGAAGATGATTCTGAACCGATCTGTAACTACTCTTCGTTTAAGGATGAGGAGTTAAGTGGCTAAATGCGTCAACCAATTCACTTACGCGGGGAACTGCATCAACCTGGTTGCTGACGAAATCTCGCATCGGATACAGAAGACCCGTTTGTCACTTGCCAACTTGCATCATCTGTGGCATTGACTGACAAGATATCTGACTCTATCAATGGACGAGTATACTGCGCTACGTTCCTTTCTGTTCCGTTATACGGCTTTGAGACATTGTCATTAAGAGTGGAAGACATGAAACGGTTACAGGCTTTTGATAATAGGTGTCTTCGTAGCATTCCTCGCATTTGGTGGAATCACCGTGCACGCAATATTAAGGTTAGGTGGTTACTATTCAAGGGAAACCAGTTAGTCGATGAAAATATAAATTTTCACTCGATGAAGTGACATGTGTTGCTCATGTGGTGCTATCGTCTTCGTTTGCATGCCTAGTCGTTTGAAATATGATAGAGTTCGAAGAAGGTTCAGAGTATTATTATTATCATTACTAATACTACTACTACTACTGTCATCATCAACAAGTGAACACAAAAATGCTACAGCAAGGGCATCAAGAAATGCACCACACAAAGTAATACAACAGCATTATGAAGATATAAACTATGGGAAGTCGATAAGTTAGAAAGAACAATAAGAATAGCATGGTTAGAAGGGCAGTTCAGTAAGGTACAGTCGAAACAAAATATTCACTACTTTCCAGCAGCAGAAGATAGGCGAAAGCTACAGCATGATCGCCACTGGTTTCGATTCTGAGCCATATCTGATAACATCACGAGTCACTGAGTTGCATGATCTCTCTGACTCCACCTATCCTTACAGCACACAGACGACTGTTGATGGGGATCCAGTGGAGTGGTGCAGCTTCGACCAGATGGCTTAGTTGTACAGGGATGCCATCGAGGGTGTTTGCCGATGCCAGAGGGTTGCTGGATAAGCGTGCTTGAAAGGTACTTGGTGTGTAGCTGACGGATGGGGAAGTAATTGGAAGGATTTCACTGTGATGGTGTATGTGGTTCTGTGGTATGCAGCAGCATGCATCGATAGGGAGGCTTTATAGAGTCGTAACTATACGTGCCTGTTGTCGGATCTACATGGAGATGTGAACGTTGAAGGTGGTGAGGTTAAACGGTGTTTTTGGTTTCAGGATATCTGTGTCAGATGTTGGACTGGAGGTGAGATGTATGAATGGTGGGAAGTGTTTGTCGACTGGGAACGGTACAGGGCGAGCTGTAGTGTGTGTAGTGGAGAGTAGGTGAGTGCAGTGCAGTGCAGTGCAGTGCAGTGAAGTGAAGTGAAGTGAAGAAGAAGACGAAAGGGGAAATTGTGATGCTAAAAACGTTCAATTGATATGTAAAAGCAATGAAACGAAATGATATCAATAAATTGAGTAGTCGGTTAGAAGTTTCTCAGTGTGGAGAGTTTTAGTATTGTGAGAAAGTTGAATGAAAGCTTTGAAATCTTCATTGTATATTGTCAATTCATATGTTGTTTGAGAGCTGGGATACTTCCTGGTTGGCCAGACCTAAGCAGGTGGTTGTCTTAGGGGGCCACTCTCCTAGCCGTTGACTTAAGGACTAATCTACAAGGCAGTAGAGAAACACCAGGAGCTGCATTTCCATGATTGCCAGTGACCAAATTAGGTTCACACACCGTTCATTCTATCTGAAACCTGGAGCTTATGAGCACCACTTAGTTGGGAATTAAGGTTTTCTAACTCCTCTCGATTAACCCTCATTATCCACCAATTCAATGATAAGCGCCGGACATTCTCTTGCCGCCTTCCATATCTGTGAAATTATTCCTGTGACGTGAGGACGGGGAATAGGACATCTTTGGCAGAGGCTGTGAATGCATGCCATAACATTTAGGGGCTCAGAGTATTTAAATAAAGAAGTAGCAGTAGTCCATGAAGTCTGATTGTTGGTCTGAACCATGTTGGAATGTTAAGACTGCATAGATGGGGACGTTATTTCAGCGTGAAACCATAGGAGCCAATGGTTGGATACCCTTAGTAACATTACTAAAAAATTGGTCACGATAGGGGAGATATATTCATTTTTTGACTACTAAAGTTTGAACATTTCTTGTTTCAACCTTCATTTTTGAAGTTAATTTTCTTCCCATACGCTTTGTTAAAGTTGATATCAGTTTTTTCCCCTCCAGTTGTTCTTTGGAGGTTACTTTGTAGTGTGGCAACTAAAACTGCTACATTTCTATGAGTTCTTTAATTTTGTCTATCTGAGCCTGAAATTTTCTTCTTGAAAAATATCTAGACATTATGTAGACGAGAATTTCTTTCCTTCACTAGGAAAGTAGCTATATTTAACTGCGTTTGTCGAGAACATTCTCATTATGAAGTTGTAGTTTTATTTATATCTCTATTCTTAAAGTGATTGTTTTATTTAAACTAGGCTCCTGTCTTTTTATGAACTGAGCTTTTCCAGGTAATGATTCCTTTTAAGCTAATATTTCATTTCTAAAAATCCTTGTCTTTACAGCGACTGGAACTCGTTTCCAAATTCCTTCTGGACAAGGAAATATATCTTCAACAACTCTCATACCGGTCACTTTTCTTGTTGATTCAGCAAGTGAATCAGATCAAATTTCTCAAATTCCTGTTTCATCAGTTGGATTACAGTTTGTTAGGACTGCAACGAAACAATCAGTTGTATGTGTAACTCCAAATTTATTTCCAGATGCTCAAACTTCTAATAATGGATTTGGTTCAGAAAATGTAAACACTTCGTACTATCCAGTAACTGATCATCTGTCTAAGCTGAATTATACATCTTCAAGTCAACCACTACCATTGTCCACATCTATAGATAGTTTATCATCTTGCAGTGAAACGCGATCTGCCCACCACATTCCTGTACAAAATTTGCTTGATAATCCAGTCATTTTATATTCACAAGTAGGTCGTACTGGCTCTCCATCGTCAACGACACTTCATCAAATTGAAGAAATGTGGTTAAGAATTCGACAGTTAAGGCGTAATATTGCTCAGGTAGTGTCACTTAGTAACCAATATCTGATGTTTATATATATATATATATATATATATATATATATATATATATATATATATATATACGTGCGTGTGCATCCGCGCTCATCCATATTTCTTGAGTAACATGAATGTATTGATCCATTGGAAAAAGAAAATTCTTCTCGAGGTATTTTTCAAAATATGAATCTGATAGTTGATTATTTGATCCTTATTTTGTTAAACAACAACAACAACAACAGTTAACTATGATGATTCCTGTGTTTGTTGTAAAAGAGTTGTATTTCGACTAAACTAAATAATAATTCAACACATCTGAGTATACTTTATAGTAGATTGAATTGCATTGATAACTTCGAAATCACTAGGTAGAGGTTACCAAGATTATATATATAACAACATAAGTGAGTGTAAAGTTAATTCGGATAGACTAAAGGTTTTCTTCTTCTTAAACTATGCATATGCATTGATACATTATTTCTGTCAGAGATATAGTGAAAAGCATGATAGCTCGAATAGTGGCAGGTTGCTGTATGAAATTGTGCAATAGATCCACATTTTTATGGTTTATCATACTTCTTGGATCTTCACAATAAAGTAGGCACGCAAGAATAAGATTATTGAGTTACTGACCAACACATATCTAAGTCTACTGGTATACATCAACTCAAATTGCGAATATCCAAAACTCAGTCGTCACTTAAGAACAGGTTGTTTGAAGCTGCGCGTGATTTGTGTTATCCGTCAATTTTAACCAGAGTTATGCGTGTTGCAAAATCCCTAAGGGTATGGAATTGAACTGATGACGTATGATGCTTTGTCGTTCCAGAATAACTATCAATTCAGCCTATTTGCTTTTTTACTTCTATGAAAATTTTAACCTCATATTGTGTTTACACTTTATGCTTTCTGTTTTAAAAACACGAAAATCTCACGACGCGATTCAGTATTCTTCGTATGTTGATGATTACTTTCAGCTGTGAGTACTTCCGGTTGTCGATTCAAAGCGTATCTAGGATGAATGTTTTGACTAAATCAGCTCATTCTCATAGGTAAAAGGCTTTCGCAATTGAACCAGCACAAAGTCAACTTAATTGTTTGAAGATAACTGATGGATAATTTACTCTGTGTAACTTATAGTACCGGTCTAATTCTGTCACGGCCATTCCGTTGAGCAATTACAAAGAATCGACAGTCTGAAAAATAACTCATTTTGGTGATTCTCGCCTTCCTGAAGCATAAAAGGTGCACTTTAAACTATTCACTAAATGTCCTGCATCACTTGGTAATTAGCACATACACAGTGTAAACCAGACTAGGATGTCATCCCAGTATCGTTTACAAAAGGTTTTACACCATGGGATTCACCTGATGATGTTATATATTTACTGTCTTAGTGGTAGAATAGTTTCAGATGGAAATGAATACAGTAAATCTAGCCAGACTGAAATCACAAACTACTCACCATATATATTCTGATGCCTTTTGAAAAATAAGTCTTAGGACTTGTTTAATAAGAATCTATCTTAAAATTGATCACTACTATTATTATTATTATTAGTCCCTTGGGTTCCTAGTGAAACAGAGGGCTTCAGTAGCACGTCTCCAGTGACCTCTGTTCTCTGAGATCTTTTGAACCTGGTTCCACGACAGCCCACAAGCTCTCATTTCTTCCTCGCATGACCTCCTCCATGTCACCCTCGGACGTCCAACTCGTCGCTTCCCATGGGGATTCCACTCGAGCAACTGGCCTGATGCGTGGTGTCCCCAGTTGGCCTTCTCAGTGCATGCCCAATCCATCTCCACTTCCTCCTGCATATTTGTTGGGTGATAGGTTCTTGGTTGGTTCGTTCCCAGAGCTCCTTGTTGCTTATTCTTTCTGGCCATCTGATCTTCAGTAGTGAGCCAGCGTAAGCAGTTGTTGATGAATGTCTGTAGTTTATTGGAAATCCCTTTCGTAACGCGCCAAGTCTTTGAGCCATACAGAAGTACTGACTTGACGTTGGTGTTGAAAATCTGTATGTTGTTCCGCATGCTGAGTGCAGAAGATCTCCACACTGGTTTCAGGCTAATGAAGGCCTGTCTTGCTGTTTTTCCGATTCTGACTTTGACATCCTCGTCTGTGCCGCCACCTGTAGTTGAAACAGTGCTGCCTAGGAGTGTGGGTGAAGGAGGTTACTTCCTTTAAGTTTCTCTCGTTGATGGTGATTGGAGTTTGTTGTTATTGGTGCGGTATCTTCACCACTTCTGTCTTCTCTATATTCACCTGAAGTCCCGTCTTCGCTGCCTCTTCTGTCAACTTGTTAGTTTTCGCCTGTAGATCTTCAAGTTTATGTGACATTAGGCACAAGTCATCGGCGAAATCCAAGTCTTCTAGGTTCTTTTCCGCAGTCCAGCCAGCGTATCCCCTCTTCTCGTTGCCTACTGTTTGCTGCATGATCCAGTCGACCACAATAAGGAATATCATGGGGAATAGTAGGCAACCTTGTTTCACTCCTGTCTTCACTTCAAAGGCATCACTGAGCTTCCCATTGTGGATTACTTGGCATGTGGCATCTTCATATAGTTGTTGAATGAGACGGATAAAGGTTTGCGGTACTCCGTAGTATTGAAGCAGTTTCCAAATTGCTTCTCGGTTGACGCTGTCAAAGGCCTTCTCAAAGTCGATGAAGTTGAGGTAGAGAGCTGATTGCCATTCTATGCTGTGTTCTATGATGATACGAAGCGTTGCTATTTGGTCTGCACATGATTTGTACTTCCCGAAGCCTGCCTGTTCCGGTCGTAGTTTTGAATCCAGTGCATCTTTAAGCCTCTCCAAGATGATGCGGCTTAATATTTTGTTTGGGGTGGGTGTGGACAGGAGAGTGATTCCGCGCCAGTTCTTGCAAACACTGAGGTCTCCTTTCTTCGGCAGTTTGACAAGGTAACCCTTCTTCCAATCGCCAGGTACCTTCTCTTCCTTCCACACCTTCTGGAATAGTGGTGTGGGAATGTCTGCTGTTGTCTCTGCATCTGTTCTCAGTGCTTCTGGCGGTATCCCATCTGGTCCTGCTGCTTTCCCACATTTCAGTAGCTTTATGGCGTTCAGGACTTCCATTTTTGTTGGAGGATTTATGTTCACTTGTAGTTCAGCGTCTGGGCTGTAGGTGGTATTTCTGGACGAAGTGCAGGTGGTGGTGTTGGTGGATTCAAGAGCTTCTTGAAGTGTTAGGCCCATTGTTTCCTCTGTTTCTCTTGTTTGGTAATTATATTCCCTTCATCATCTTTTGTTTTCTCGTGTGTTGATCTCTTCCCAGATATCAACCTGGTTATTTGATTCAATGTTGTCAGGTCTCTCCTACCAGCAGCGTGTTCTGCTTCACTTGCCAGTGTTTCGTAGAAGTGTCTTTTGTCTTTGCGTGCACTCTTCTTCACTTCTTTGTTCAGTGTTTTATACATTGTGCTCAGTTCCTCTTGTCGTTGAGCATCCTTGCACTGGTTTATCTTCTGCTTCACCATCCTCCTCTCCCTGCTCTATCAGCTTCCATGTGTCAGTCGAGATCCATTCCTTGTCTTCTTTCTTCTTCCTTCCTAATACGGCTGTTCAGGTTTCTTTCCACATCTCTTTCAAAGACTTCCAGTGTTCATCCACACAGGTTTCTTTGGGGATGTTCCTCGATATCTCCCATTTTGTCTTGATGGCTGCCGTGAAGATCTCCTTTGTAGTTTCATCCTTCAGTTTCCGAGTGTTGTACTTGAATTGAGGTCTATCACCAGCTTCCTTGAAGGCTTTTAACTTGATTTGGAAGGTTCCTTGCACTAGATAGTGAGTGGTCTGAGCCTACATCTGCTCCTCTTCTTGATCTTGTGTCCAGTAGACTGCGTCTCCACTTTCTTGAGATTGAGATAAAGTCGATCTGATTTTTAGTGTGTTCTTGTATCTGGTGAAATCCATGTCGCTTTGTGGATATCCTTGTGCCTGAACACACTGCCTCCAATTACCAAATCGCTGGATGCACAGAAATCTGCAAACAATTCTGCATTCTCGTTCATTTCACCGAGTGCTTCTCGACCCATGGTTAGTTCTCTTCCTGTGTTGTCCCCTCCCAGTTTGGCATTCATGTCGCCCCACCCATTAGAATTTTGATATCGCCAACTTGAGTGGTGTCTTGTCCAGTGTTGATTGAAATTGTCTGTAGAACTCCTCCTTTTTCTCTTGCTCTGCATTATTTGTAGGTGCATAGTGTAGCATTGTATGATTGTGACCTTCCTTCCTTTTGAGTTGAATCTTGCTGTCATGATTGTGGAGGAGATTGGTTCCCACTGCATGAGAGCCTTCGATGCTGTTGAGGACATCATGATAGCCACTCAATAACTCAGTGTGCTATGCTCGTGGTTGTCGTGTCGTCTGGGTGACAACATCGGAGTAGATTATTGATTCTCCAGTTGACAGTTTGGAGAGTCCACTCCCATTCCATCTGCTTTCGCAAATTCCAAGCACTTCAATGTGATACCTCTTCATCTCGTTTGCAATCTGGGCTGCCTTGGTAGGTTCAAACATCGTGTGGAAATTCCATGTCCCCACGCTTACTTTTGCTTTCATGGAGAGAAGAGAAGACACATCGGCCCGGCTAATTGGCTTTCTGAAGGCAGGCTTTCACCAACTGGCGTCATTTCGCCTCTCTGATTCCAGCGGGGAATAATTTTGTTTTTATTTTTTATATTTTGTTTGTGCTTTGAAGTTTGTTTAACGGGGTAGGGTTGCAAGCCTTATGCCCAACCTTCCCTCTTTACCCGGTCTTAGGACCGTCTAGTAGCTAGTGAACTAGTTAACCAGGCGAGGTTAAAGTTGATCACTATGTCATAATGTAATCTGTAGTATGGAGGGACGATATGCCCAAAGTCTTATGAGCTTGTTAGGAATGTGAATCAATGAAATGAATAATTAAGGCCGAAATTCTCAAAACTGTGAAGTGACAAGTCGGCTATAACAAGACTTTTCTTTATTCCCCAAGTCGCGAGCTTAGTACACTATAATTGCAACGAAATCGGGGAGTTTTACTACATTCAACAATGTTCATTCATGGATTCCGATTACATGGATAGCGTAGTTATTTTTATGCGTGACCATGGAGAAATGCAGACAAGTATCAGTCATCTAAAGATGAGCCCTGGAATCATTGGAGTGAAGGCTAATGACAAAGATAGTAAGTGATTTTCAAGGCGGAGCTCAGTATGAAGCATCAACCAATATACATGAGAAATAAAGCAACCAAGGGAAATTATCAACTCAGCAATCACCCTAACTGGATATTGAAGGAAGTGTGCGTAGTTCTACTCACTGAACCCTCCCTCTCCTAGGTCATTTGACGATTCTAGAGAGAGGGAGCGAGGATTGTAATTAATATTGAAATGTGCTGTATAAGATTAGGTAGTTTAATCTGTTGCACTTTTAGACTATAAAGCGTAAAAATGAGATTGTTGGGCAATGCCATCAGAAATTCAGTTATTTTGCAATCATACCGTTATGAAAGACTTGAACTTTTGTCGAACTTCAAGTCCCTGCTAACGTGCTCCATTTTGTAGCTAATTTACAGTATAGTTTTACCAAAACCTATATATCCACATGAAACGTTGCCCTTGTTATGATCATTAATTCACAACGTTCAGTTACTTCCTGCCTTGTCTTGTTCTCACTTTCTAGTGACTGCGTTAGGTTTCTGATCTGAGTGTTTAGGAACTGATTTACCATGCCATTGTCCGAGTTTTTATATCGAGTCATGTCGTACTCTCAAATAAGAACGGCACCAGCTAATATGGGATCAATTTAAATTTTCTTTAAATCACTGGAACATTGATTTACTAACGATGTTCGGTTTACTTGGTAGCATAACTCTCCAGGTTTTGTTTTGGTGCTTTCATACATATGTAGCATATTTATCTTAACAACTGAAGCATAGATTTGTATGAACTACTACTACTACAAAACTTGATTTGAACCCAGGGAGTCATGACGCATCCTCAGGTTGTAGAAGCCATGTTTCACAGAGGTAGAGCAGAAGTGGTTATACCGAAGCGTTGTCAAGCCGACCTTTTACGGTCGGACTAACGTGGTGACGTCGCTCAGTGTGGTTCAAATTGACGTATGCCACTCTGGCTTTCGACATGCGATTGGAAATTTCACCACTCACATAGGAACCCAGATACACGAAGTTTTCGACTATTTCCAACGGTTGACCAGCGAGAGTGAGTGCAGACACAGGCTACTGGGAATCTTGGAAAAGTGGTTTTCACTTCACTGGTGGAAAGCAGAAAGCATACCTACGGAGTCTAATCGCGAAGTGATTAAGTGGGACTTGATTAGGTTTTGTGTTATCGCACAGTAAGACGATATTGTCCGGATATTGAAGGTCGAATGACCGTTCTGTGGGTAGTGGATCTACAGCACGATCATATTATCTACAGAGGTGTCGCCCGAATGTAATGGATGGACGTGAAGTTAGAGAGGAATGGAGAAATGGGACAATCCTATGTAACTTCACTTTTGGTTTGGAAAAATGGGGACAGGTAATTGTATGCTGTTACTCTACGTGATTTGTTATTATATTAGGCTTTCAAGGTGATAATAAATTTCTCAGTTACGTCCCTTTCCAACAGACAATTGTAGAGTACAGCTCTGTGCAACGAATGGTAGGTATTCGTGATATGAAGATGCCGGATGATTGTTCGCCTGCACTGCGTGTGATGATGTTGAAGCATCTGGGGGATGGTAAACACATGATCTCTGCATCGACGACTTGAACGAAATCTTGCCTACTACTTGCGAATCATTTTGTCATGGGTTTTACAAAGTCTGGGAAGTGTGATGTCAGGTAATATTTTCGACATGAATGGTAATGGACTATAACCTCGATGATTGTCACGTACATTACGTGAACCTTTTAAAGGATGGGCACAGTGATGACGTCATCCGAGAGTGATGGAACACTGTCATTCTGCCATACCTTCCCAATCTATGTAGTCAGTTGTCTGACTGGAGTGGTTCCTGCATGGTTAAAAATAGTCGGGGGTAAGTTGTGTGAACTGGTTGTCTTGTGGGGTTTCAGAACGTGGTGTTCCCTATTGATCTCAACTTCGTTAGGTGTCAAGTGTTAGTGTTAGGTGACGACGGAACACGACACTGAAAGTGAGGTTGCCGGAGCAGTGGGGCAGCTGAAGTGGTTTTCGAAGTGCTCCATCCAGCGTTTCATGCGTCTTTGGAGATTGTTTATTGGAGTACCATCTACCTGACAGACCGTCCTACTGATGCCAGGCTTCTTACCTCCACTGACTCGGATGAACTGGAACAACTCGCGGCTATTGCTGGATGCATGTGTTGCTTCGATCTGACTTGCGGGTTCTGACCATGAAGCCTCACAGTCTGTGCATAAGTTTTGTGTAATCTTTGGTGTAAGAGACTTACGCAAAGCATTGTACTCGCTATGTGCTAGACTGGATGATTGGTTGGTTGGTTGGGTGTCATGAATTTGTATGGAGGTCGTAGAGACCCAGTGTTTATTGTGGGGACGTTCTTCAAAGTCGCACACGGCTTTACTCGTGATTTTCATGGGTTCGTGCAAGTGCGTCGAATACTCGACTACAGTTGGTGTAGAATCGGTGTCCATCCTTAAATTTGGCTCGTATCGTTATTTAGCTAGAATGTTAATTGCAACTAATTTTCTTGTATCGACCTGTTATGGACGATGATTTTGATGATGAGTGAATCGCAATATGAGGTTAGCACACACTGAAGTATGATCCTAGTCCAGACAAGTAGTTCATATGGAGCGGCAGTCATGTATGCACGTAGGCTATTGTTAGCTGATTGGAGTCTGATGTGTTTCAGTCCAGGGTTGAGTGGTGGAGGTAGGACGCGAAGTAGCACAACGGGGATGGGTGGTGTTGACTACAAATAGGTTGTGACGTGCGCAAAGCTGCAGAAGATGATCACCACTATCTGACCTGGAGCCAACTGATGCTCATTGGTCATACAAACGGCTGTCGTCTGATTCGATTCTAGACTCCTGACGTGTGCATTCAAGTCCCTTGGTAGCAGTACAATATCTGTTGAGCATTTTGGTTGATGAGGTGACTTAGTTGATGATGGAATTCATGGTTGGTTGGATGCGGGCTGTAATGCGTCGGAGGATAGGGAGAGATGAATAAGGGATATTGTTTCTCTTGCAGGTCACTTCTTGCCGTAGATGAACCTTCTAGCCTTACAGCACACAGACGACTGTTGATGGGGATCCAGTGGAGTGGTGCAGCTTCGACCAGATGGCTTAGTTGTACAGGGATGCCATCGAGGGTGTTTGCCGATGCCAGAGGGTTGCTGGATAAGCGTGCTTGAAAGGTACTTGGTGTGTGGCTGACGGATGGGGAAGTAATTGGAAGGATTTCACTGTGATGGTGTATGTGGTTCTGTGGTATGCAGCAGCATGCATCGATAGGGAGGCTTTGTAGAGTCGTAACTATACGTGCCTGTTGTCGGATCTACATGGAGATGTGAACGTTGAAGGTGGTGAGGTTAAACGGTGTTTTTGGTTTCAGGATATCTGTGTCAGATGTTGGACTGGAGGTGAGATGTATGAATGGTGGGAAGTGTTTGTCGACTGGGAACGGTACAGGGCGAGCTGTAGTGTGTGTAGTGGAGAGTAGGTGAGTGCAGTGCAGTGCAGTGCAGTGCAGTGAAGTGAAGTGAAGTGAAGAAGAAGACGAAAGGGGAAATTGTGATGCTAAAAACGTTCAATTGATATGTAAAAGCAATGAAACGAAATGATATCAATAAATTGAGTAGTCGGTTAGAAGTTTCTCAGTGTGGAGAGTTTTAGTATTGTGAGAAAGTTGAATGAAAGCTTTGAAATCTTCATTGTATATTGTCAATTCATATGTTGTTTGAGAGCTGGGATACCTCCGATGTTGCCAAACTGATACAGATCTGTACATGTGGTATGACGAGATTTTTTTGTGATGTCTAGATGATTAAGAAGGATGTTAACTTCTTCCTACCAAGCAGTTGGTCGAGTGGTTAGTGCGAAGATTTGCTATCCATTGAGATTCCTCTGCTTAGCATTTAGTCCGATGCCCATCAGTAGTGTTCGATAGGGCTGTCGTTCTGTGGTCTTTACACTCGCTTTTTATCTTTTGGTTTGTAAGTGTGAATCCCGCCCCACTTACTAAGGTTTGGTCAACTATGTAGTACCATCACTCTTCTCACAATGTGTGAATTATTAACTGGTGGATGAACATGGTTGTTGAAAGAGATTCATTTGGTTCATTCCATTACGTGTCGTATTACTCACTGCTTTTATTTCATGATTTCATCGGTAGCTATGAGATACTTTTTTCCGTTACCTAACAAGATCTGACTCCGTTGTAAGTGTTCATTTATACGATCATAAACGCATGATTAGGAAGGTGGTTTCATATACTCGGGGCTGAGAAAAGAACTAAAAATAATTTACGACTGATAATTGATAGACTTGGATCCTATTTCAACTTCCAAGGTCTATGCAGCTGGTTAGTATTATTAACTTACTTGAAGCTTGTGTCACACTAAGATGTGCTTGGTTGTTGAATTATATCATTAGTGTTTTGTCTTAAATTGTAGTCAACAACCTCACAATACATTTCAGTTGATGGTGAAACTGCATCAAATCCAGGGAATCTGGAACATTTGCAACAAGAACACAATCGTTTAGCAGTACTTTGTCGTTTACTTATCATAGAACGCCTTGATACTTTAGACGAGATGGATACAAATGACAAACAGAATTTGTAAGTTATGTATTCATATTGTACCTTGTTCATTATTATCCCACTAAGGCAACATACAACATTCCTTGTTACAATATACCTTAATATGTTACTCGTTGTTTTCTTTCGACCTCATTATTTTAGGTTTTTTTTTCATCAGTATTTGTTATTTTGAACTAAGTAGACAAACTTTAAAATATTGTTCATTCAATAATTTATGAGATGTTGTTTTTCTGAGGACTTTTCTCTTTTTTAACTTTGATTCGTTTTTGTGTTGTTTATTCAGCGTTTAGGTGTTTCTTAGTTTACCTCTAGGCAATGAACCACACACTTATTGTGTGAGGGCTAATGATACTACTGATCTGGCTGCGCAAACCTCGGTTGGCGGAGCTGTGTTAAAACCCTTGACCCACCTATTTGAAGTCAGTTGTTTAAACCAATGAGCGACAGCTCACCGCATTGAAAGAAATACTAAACTATCGCGGACCGCGCTTTAAATAAATGTAATTCTGATAATCTGTTGCTTGTAAATGAGCGCATTCACGCTATCTAACAGAAATGACAAGCAGATAATGCTATTCCTTGTTTCACAGTTTGTGAAGAGATATATGCTTCACTTTCTAGCTTTCTGGCTTCAATTATTAGATTTATGGGTATGTATTACTGAAAAGTTCAATAAATAGATGTAACAACTTCCCAACACTTTCTTGTTGTAATTATTTTATTATCTGATGAAAATCAACCCGTAATTTGGATACCACAGAGTTGATTTATGGATACGATGCAATCAATAACACTTTGTATTAAACTCAAAGAATAAGGGTTTTTATTTTGTAGTTTTTTCCCCATTCTTATCGGTGTTTAGAGCCTAGAAATTACACGAAGTAACTCAATCTGTAGATGCATTGTCATCATTTGTCTACATATTCTTACCTACTGGGAAATTCGATTACTTATCAGCTACCACTATGCAATTATTATCATTGATCTTGAGTTATTAATTGTTGGAAATAATGACTGTTGGCAATAGCTTTTAGCTCATTTCTATTCTAGATGGATAATGACCAAGTTAGCAATGCTTTTCTTTAGGTTATTATAAATTAGTATGCTGCTGCAGGACACTTCCACCTTTGGCTTGGAACTTTTATTGTCCATAGTATTTTTAGTAGACAAACATTATGATCGTGTCATTCTTGGTTCAAATGGCTAGTTTGTAAGTGATTCGATGACTGAATTAACGACAATCAATGTTACACTGATTGTTTTGCGTTCTGTAACTTCGTAGTCCACGTACTAAACTCTTATCTGCTTATTAAACACGCTCAAAACTACTTCAACTAGCTGGATAGTATAATCTCTTGTCCCCACAAAATAAATACGGTTATATATATAACATAGCAACTATGTACCTTTTGAAAATCCTATCTTTAAGGTCAGCACATTCTCAAATGAGAATACACATTACCAGTCAATAAACCATATTTTCTATGCGTATGTTTAATGTATCAATACATTTGTAGCGTGTTTATCTCACTTTAGTTCATTACATTGGATAACCTTAAATACGATTGTGACTCAGCGTTATGCGTATATTTCCATCTGAAGTAAATTAAGTCTATGCATTCAGGTTATCATTAGTGTAATTTGAATAATGATACAACATGAATGAAAAAGAATCTTAAACCTGTTCATTGCGACGTGTACATACATAGTTATCTTGTAGCAATATTCAAATTTATCTTATCCGATTATACCATCCTATCACTATGCTTCCATATGAGTGTCAAGGATCTGGAAATATTTCATGTCTCCATAGGGTGTACTTCCCACCTTGGAACTAAATAAGTGTGTTTCTTTGGAGTATTGGAATTGTATTTCCTTCATTGGGATTTTACAAATATATTTCATTTATGTATTTTCCTCATCTTTAATGGTAGGGAAGAATATTTCGAACAGAATCGGTTATTTCTGTCATGTTTAAACGTGTTTCTGGAAGAGATGTTTTAGAATTTCTGTTTTTATATGAAATAGAAAGAAGGCGTTTGATGATTCAACAGGTCTGTTCACATGGAAGTACGTGACTTACTGGTTGCTTGTTGACCGAAAACCTAAACTAATGAACCATAGCTTTATTGTAAAAAGGCGACTTGTTGAAATTCCCCCCCTTTTCCTGTGCAAATGGTTCCATTCACTTTGTTTTTCTATCTTATTGTCTAGCATCAAACTAAAAGACGATCAAAATCAATTTGTGTAGTTTGTTATATTAACATGATTTTTCACTTTTCATTTAACAATTTTCTGTTCTAAATAGTAATGTGTCTGTTTTACAGGATATATATATATATATATATATATATATATATATATATATATATATGAGATAAGTCCTAATAGTTCAAACTTAGATTGTGTGGTTGATGAGTATCCATGGTGTATTCAGTCAATTTAAGTTCTCATCTGTCAACCGTTGTTCCATGGATACGGATCCTGGGAAATGCACTTACCTGAAAAGTTAGCTGTATCTGATGAAGTTAGAATTTTGATATATATTGTCACTCACTTGGTGTGTTATCACGAAGGGTTATGAAGGAGTTATCAGTTAGACTCATTGGGTTGGGTTAACATTTCCATTGTACTACTGCCTGTACGGAAATTTTTATTTAGTTGACATGAGAATAGCGTCACCATTTGATGACCATTTTTCATTCCAGAACTTTCAGAGATGAACAAACTACTATATAGCTGAACTCTTGAGTGTTATACACGAGTAAGAATAAGTGTTATAATGTACTCATGAGTCATTAGAATGGTCTATCCACTTCAGAATATGTTGTGTTTCTATTGAGTTGCCGTGAGTACCAGATTTATTATCTACTGGATTACAATAACCTCCTTTATGTGATGAACGTATGCCGATTTGATTTTGAGGCAACCTAACTCTCTAAATTGAGTTTTGGTGCTTGTTGTGAAAGTTATGATTAACTTATACGCAAGTGAATTTCTAAAATAATTTCAGGGTCCAAATGAGAGATCACAGGTTTCAAAAACCGTCCCACTTTTGAGGTCATTAACGCTCACAAAATGGTTGTGACTCATTGTCGACTTTCAGAATGTTTATCAGATGGATCTCTGTCTGTCTCATATTCATATCTTGTAACGCAAATGGTATTCTTTATTTATCCTTTTTTTTCAGTCATGAATTGAAAAGTCCGTGTAGTTCAGATTTTAAAATTGAACGAAATCTGTTAACTTCTTACTTAAGAAGGCTTGGTGGTTCTTTGAACACAGATTCTGTGTCGTCCAGTACAACTTCATCTTTAACCGTAAATTCTATTACCAATACTCCTAGTTATGCTACCTCGGTTACACTGCAAACACCAGAAATTTCTGGTCATTCAGATTCGTATCCTATGAGACCAAATTCAAGATATGATGATCACAGGAGTATTGAAGTTACCGACAATACTAATTGTTATAATGATTTCAATAATAGGGAAGATGGAAAGTTGGATAATACTGATGTACTACTGAATCATCATCATTACAATAATGAAAAACCAGTTTATTCAAATTTACAAAATTCTCCTGTTTCTGGTCTCTCAAAAACCATATACATATGAGTGAGTGTAAATGAATTTTATTTTTATGTGTTATGCATAATCTCAATTTTTCATGTTTATTACATTCTGTGATGAGTTGGTCATTGAGAGTGAGTGTGTTTACCGTTCTATTGCTTCAAATTCTATTTAAATTCATTATGACCAACCTTGTAAGTATTATGTTTAAGTGAAATCATTATGAGTACTACACATTCCAAGTTATAATCTTCGGCCAAGTTTCATATGCATATACATTTTAGTGAGGCCATTCCTCCTGTGATATAGATAAAAAGATGAATGTGAGCTTTTGTTCGTTCATATTTTTCAACAAGTGTAACACTCAATTTAGGACGACACCGTGACTTTTGTTCAAATCGATAAGCAATGCCATTTAGATTTGTCCAGTTCTATGAACAAAATCTGGATTCGGTGATTACATCTATAGTGGTGGTCATACTTCAGAAGATCATTGTCGTAGACAAGTAATACGGTATCAATAACCGAAGTAAGATATAGGATAAATAGTGACATAAAGTATTTATGATTCGATGGAAGATGCATCTTTACCACCGGGATTAACTGTTTTCCACATGTATACATATATCCACTGGCCAAAAAGTATGCATTTCTGCACTTGATGTAAGTCAGCAACCAGTTATTCGGTGATGCAGTGATATAATGCTTTATGTTAGGTAAAGTAAAAACAAACACTTTTAATAAGTGCTTTAACCACCTCATCTTTTTATCGTAATTAATGTTTGTACTAAGTGATGATTGAAGGTGAGATGAAAGTGTGGACCTCAGTCGGACTCGAACCAGCGACCACCGGATTACCGACCTGGTGCTCTACAAAGGCTGGAATAAAATTCTGATCAACAGTCGGACCTCTTGGTTCAGTTGGTAGAGCACCGGGCCGGTAACCTGGTGGTTGCTGGTTCGAATCCGACCGTGGTCCAGATTCTCATCTCACCTCCAATCATCACCCAGTATAAATACTAGTCCGCTAAACTGCGACTATTTCAAATGGTCAAATGGTAATTACTGTTTCCAAAGCACACACACATACAGGGTGTATGCGGTCAAATATCTTGTGTAAATTTGTTGTGTTGCTTATTTTCAATGAATTTGTCTCAGGGTCGCACTGTGTAGAGCAAAGTGTACCTCTCAGGTTGAATTGAAGATGGTGATTATCATCACTTGGAACTCTACTTTTTAGTGTTTTTGATTCCCCGTCACTGGATGGTTCAATTGCAAACTTTTTATCGTCATCTGAAACAAATTGATCAACATCAGGATGCAAAAGGGAGTGGACTTTTAAAATATCTCCACAAGTTACAAAGCTGTTTGTTCTGATGATCTTGTCTGTCATCAGTTATCCTCAGAAGCTTTGTTATCGCCATGTGCACCTACACTCGTATTGATTGTTTTATTGACCTCATATCTGACCATATGACTGCATAACTCTTTCATTGGGTGATAGCTCAGGTCTATTTTAGACTATCTACTTGGAGAGTGACTTGAATATTATGCTTCTGAAAATATCACAATGAGAACACTACAAATGGTGTTCTCATCACGTTATTCAAGCTGTCAGCGTATAAAGTTTCTAAGAATACCAATATTGCTAGAGTTCCTTCCACCTAAGGTTTACACATTTTCCAAACCAAATTTGTTTATGTGGCTTCTAAAATGCAGTCATGTGAAGGACAACTTTTCCTGCTGTTTATTAACTTTTGGTTGTGAGTGCAATGGTTAAGAGGGCTCTCACTTTAGTCATTATACTGTCTTCCAAAGGTTATCTTGTAATTATTGTTAGTTTACCCCCTAAATACCTCTGCTAAGAACACTGTTATCCCACCTAAACAGTATTAAAACTCTGCATTTATGTCTATCATCGTTTTAGATTATGTGGAGTTTTGTGTTATGTGACAAAAAGTGATTGAAGATACGCAAATACAAAACTGTCCAATTGGACAGCACTCAACATCTGGTCCATTCCATTTCCATTTCCTAGTGTTAAACATGTCATCCTTTTGAAACTTTTCTAGATTTTACTTAAATCAGTACCTATGCCATCGGAAACTAGTTTTAAGTGTTTTATTTACACAATTATGGGGCAGCTGTTTCCAATCTGATGGTGTTCGAGATGTAAGTACATATGGGGCTTCACCATACTTAAGGTTGGGAATTAACGGTTGGTAGACCGACTGAGACTGCTACATCCCACGATTTTCACTCAGTGACCATCACGTTGAAAATAGGTTTTTATCATAAATTTACATCTGTTTGTATATTTTTCTAATCAGATTCGTGTTCGATTTAACGGACCAAGTATAATTCCACTTTGTTTATTTCTAATCGTGGAAAACATTGAGAATTTTAAATTCTATATGCATATTATCAATTCACCTGCTCTTGTGGAGCCAGGTATATTGGTCGTTCGATGCGACTGTTATCCAAAAGGGTTCAAGAGCACTATCCGACGTGGTTACAAAGAGGTAACAATGCGGTGATAAGGAGCGACATAATTTTAATTTCATCATGCACTATACAGATACGATATTATGCTCTCTATAACTAAAGGCAGTAATTTACTTTGCTTGCATTGAAGATTATGTGTAGAACGTAGATGAATCTAGTTATGCTACGAAAAGAAGCATTATTTAACTAAAAATAGTTTTTGGAAGAGAAAGAAATGCAATTTGGGTAGGCTAGTAAGAGTTCATGTTTATTTCAATAGTTTCTCTTCAGCTATTTACATGTTATTTCGAAAATTTAGCATACTGTGATCAGCAGTCACAATCGTAGAACTCCTTGTTTTGCAGATGATAGTAGTATGAAGTTATATGGAAAGTAGATTATTGTAGCTATGGTAAGATATACAGAGCTTGTTATAGCATACGTTTTCTCTAAAAGTTTGTTTTTCATCAGATTTTCTAATTTTTTGTTGTATACTCCCATTTTGTTTATTTCTGGCTAAACTGTGGACTGAATCTAGGGATGGCATGTTGTGTATCAATTTAAAGACATGAGTAACTTCTACCTGATAATATTTTTGTTCTTGTGCATTCACCGTCGCCCTCAACTACTGTTCAACGGAGGGACTTAATATTTGTTTCTCTTAGATTATTTCATCAGTTTTATCAAGCTGGTGTGATTAATGATGTCGTACTGGTTCATCCTCTGTAAAATTATTTATTTTTAATTCTTTCAAGAATTTTAATTACATACAAAAGTACCACACCTCAGTAATCTGTTACCATTTTGTGTAATAGGCTATGAAACATACTTTATGTGCGACAGAACTTGCTATATTTCCATGGTGGACTATGTTAAGACACAGTACTTGTCTAATGGTTCTTTTATCGGAGGCATAGACCAAAGACCCAGCGATCCAAGCATATATGTATGTACATCTATCATCTGTATATCATCAAAGTATATTAGATATTTGAAAACAAAGTTTTTTGCTACTCCATACTCTGTCTTTGAATCGAGAAAAAGTGCAAAAGCCACTCATGTATATATGTTCCTATTCTTAGATGCATAGAGGTTTCTAGATGTAGTCCGGTTGCTTTTTAATTTATTGAAAATCCAAACTTGGTACAACATGGACATCAATAAATGTGCTAAACAGAATAATATAATAACATTAGAAAAGGATAAAACTGTTATGGATGAACATGAAGAAAGCATTTAGCAGAACGAAAATGAAAATGGCTTATTAGAGAAGCGTTCATTGGAGGTAATTTTCATTTTACTTTTTGAAGTTTACGTGATATCATCTTAAGCCAGCTACTGAGTTACATGTAAATAGTGGTAATTTGATATTAGAGCTAATGAGATGACACTCACAACACATGTTTCGTCCACCAAAGCCGTTGTTTCAAGATGACCACTCAGTGTGATGATTTCCATCACTCGCAGATGAGCACTGCCTCAAAACTGACTTACATAGTAAATGCTGGCAGTCATTCAGAAACAACAGTAATCAAACACGCTAGGTTATTATTGATCATCCTCAACTCACATAAACCAGATCCTACAGGCATTCAGCAAAACTCCCCTCATCGTTACTTCGTAAATCCAGCATTCTACAACCAGGATAACGTCACAATGACGAAAAACGTGACCCATATTGAAGTATGCCGATTTAGTTCTCAATATACAAGAGAAAATCTCACCAGCCATTTCTACACTACAGATTACACAACTGCTAAGAACCAAAAGCGGTTAGCCTACTTCCAACAGTCACTGTGTCAAGGGTAAGTAGAACACCTACACGCTTCCATTAGCAGTCTTACACGTGTACTCTGAACTCCAGTGGTGCGAAGCACATGATATGACTACGCAAACTGACCACTAACTGATTCAGTGTGACTTCACTATCTGGCGTGTTGTAACACAGTGAAAAGACGTCCTCTATCATATCTACTGGCACAATCTAGTCACTTCCTTGACCACAGTCACACCTTCATCCTTAGAAAAAGGTGGGTGTTGTTTGACACCTTAGTACCCAGAGTTTTCTTCACACTTCCACGTCGTTATGTGGATCGGTACTAACGAATCATGGCACGAGAGAGATTGAGGATGAAGTTGTTGGGGCAATAGGTCAACTGCGTCGCTTTTCAATGTGTTCCACTCGGTGTTTTGGGCACCTTCGAAGGTTGCTGACTGGCTTATCATCAGCTTCACAAACTATCGTCCCACTGACTCCTGGTGATAGTTTGGAGTTGCTAGAACAGCTTTCCACAGTTAGCAGATTGTAGTCAACTACTTAGGTCTGCAGGCTAGGATTTGCATCACGAAATTTTGATGATAACATGTGATTTACGAGAAGTAATAGAAGTGTTCAACTTTACATGACAAAGATGGGTAATGAGTGTGATAAGCTCGTGAGTTCGGTAGGAATTCAACAGATACGTGTGATTGATGCTAAAAAGAATGAATAGGATGCATGTCTAAGACCTTCAGACTAGTGTATTCTATGTTGAAGGGACCAACTAGATGGTGGAGTTGTAGATCACAAAACGAACATTGGTTACGATACAAATGTTTTGCTTTTATGAATGGCATCAAGGTGTGAATTGATAGCTTTGAATGGAATATTATAATCTCGATGATGGCCTATTGTGTCAAGCATATCATCAGCTTATGATAAATGGTTAATTTTGCTTTCATTTTTAGGATTGTTGTCAGTCAACGTTTTGATCGTGTTTACTGATGAAGTATATTACACTGTATCATGAGATTGTCAGAGAATGTTTGTATTCGCGCTGGAGGGGAGTTGTGATTTTTCTCAGTACCTACAAGTTTGCGTTAAGTGTTGCGTATACCGTTTGTGGTTTATGTAGGCATTGTGATTTTCTCGTAAAACTATTTTTTAGCGTTTTCAGATTGGATGGATTCCACCTTTTTAATTTCAATGTTGTTTCTTTGTACCACTACTATTTTATATTGGACAAAATTTTTCCATATTTTCTACCATGATACTATACTTTTTTATTTATACTGTACTGATTAATTTATTGACAGATTTTTGTAGGAAGTATTACTGATTGTCTATGAAGGAAAGCTACTCATTCTGCTCCAAGTGCTTCGTTTAATGATCATAATACTGCAACTCAACCTAGTACACGTTTATATACCAAGCTTTGAGCTAGACTTCGTAACATTTGTATACTGTTATTAAATGACGAAGCTGGTAAATTTTGAATTCCATTTATATTTTTATGCATATGTTACAGTGCTGCTTTGGAACAACTGCCGTCTCCAATGACTACAGATATACTTTTCGAGTTATGGAACAGTGTTGTAGAAGACAATAATTCTGAACAATCCAAGTCGATCAATGTAGATTCATGTGATTCAGATATGACTGTAGATCTTGTCGAAGGAAATCATGGATTGTGTTCATCTCATTCACAGGCAAATGAGGCCAATATTACTACTAACACTACAAATATCGGTGACAATTCCAACTTCTATTCAGTTCCAAAATGTGATATTGAAAGTATGTTTCAGTTGGATTGTGTACCTTTTACATCTACTTCATTGAGTTTTATGTTTTTACACTTAAAAAAAAAGAAGGAAAAATAATGTCTTCACTGTATGATATATATCATACTGAAGCATGATATGATTGACCTGATAGTCATTGAATTTCAGATCAATTCAAGTTTTATGTATTCTCTTATTATGTGGTCAAATACCTAAGTTCACATCAAGACAGGCTTTTTTAAAATTACCATTTTATAGGGCATGTTTGTTTTTACCTAGTAATGGGTGTAATTCAGTACTTTCAACATTCAACTTTCAAGAATGGAGTTTTGATTTCAAATTCACTTTTATTCACCTCAGTTCCGGTATTTGGAAAATATCAACAATTCTAATTGCTTGTAAATAAATAGATAGATGTATGCTCATAGTCATTTGGTTACTTCCTATGTTTTTATCAAAGTTTATTGCAGTTGACACTACATATAACTCTAATTGAAGTAATGTTTAAGTATGCTTACTTAAGTTTGTTTCTACCCTTGAGTAGGTGAATCATATCTTTCTCTTTTATGATAACATACATTCTTTGTCTACATTCTTTGTCTTTTATCCACTTGGTAATCAGCTTCTATAAGTGTAGTATGTATCTTGCTAGACTGACTAACTGATGGATGAAATATGGTCACACTTTGGGAACTTTGAGCTAAGCTGAGAGATGCTTGGTGATTAAGGTCAATTTTAATCCGTTCTCAATGTTTATCTGACTGTAAACGTTTAATCTTATGGAGTTGAGTGTTTTATGCATTTCTTTGTGCACGCACAATCTACCGGCTTTATTCCATCCTTACTGTTTTCTTATGATTACTATCATTCATTGCAAACTGGATTTAAGGTACCCTAAAGTTCGGTAACGTGTTGTTTACTAGGCAATCTGAATAATTCTAGTGCTCATTGGTGACTAGCTTCAAGAAGTGATTCCCGAAGTTCAAACGAGAAGTCGTGACTGGTGAGGCCAACCAAGTCGAAAATGATGAAAACCGACCTGAAATCAATCAATAAATTTCTACAAAAGCCTGGACATTTTATGAAGTGAATTTATAAAATTCACTTCATAAAATCTTGGTGATCATGAAATCTATTTGAACAAAGATATCAAACGTGGTTCAAATTTGGAATTAGTGATGACTGTATCTCTTTAACAGTATCTATAGTGACAACTCTTGATCTTTTTCATGTCTAACCGATTCACACTCTTTTTCTTATGGTTATTTCTCTCATTTCTTTTGAATCAATATTCAATGTTTTCAGGAATAACTAAGTAGTAGTAGTAGTAGTTTTTGTAATTTTTAACATATTCGTTTCTACATTTTACTATTGTTTTCCGTAATAATAATATGCGCATTACCTAAACTACCATGATTAAGTACAAGTGATTGTATGTATGAATGTAATAAATGAATTATTTGTGTTCTTTTTTGTGTCGGTACAACTTGAATGTGTGATAAGCATATCTGCATTTTTCATATTCACTCTGAATTAATTATTCATACTTTTTGGGTGTTCTGAATAGTTCCATTTAGTTGTGAATGTGAATAAAACGGCGTTATGATCTAGTGTTTCACTATTCAACGATTTTATTTTACTTGTTATTCGTATTTATTGTGTACAATACAAATTTTGTGATGTATTTATCATTCACTCGCTGTATTTGTCATGCATCTAATATCATTAACAGTGCTCTTTTATAGATGATATAGGACATATTTAATGGTTTACTGATTTTCAGAGAAAAAATTGCTGAATGTATTTCAGTGATTCACCGTGTTAATATTTTTACAACAAATAGATATTCCAATGGCTGACAATAATGGAGTGGATTTCTCAAGGCAATTATGTCATACAGTTGGGAATCTTACTGGTGGTGTAAACAATTCCACTTCTTCATCACCTACCACTGCCGCCAGCAATACTATAGCCACCGTTCATTCTAGTGATAATTACTCAGCGATAAATGGGGCTGGAATTTCAGTTTCGTCATCAAGTGGTTTTCAAATACCCATTGTAAGTGATTAATTTTGAAAATTAATTTTCATTAGTTTTTAGATATAACTGTTTCTTATTATTTTCTGAGTAGCTTGCCAATTCAGAATAGAACGTTGAATTGTTATGTATCAGCTCTATTTATCCCGCTTCTTAATGGAATAATAAAGAAAACAAATTAACTGAACGGAATAAGTAGCAACTGTATGTTTAAAAATTCAGTGTTATTGCGATCCTAAGGGTGGTAATATCTAGGTCACCATGGCCTCCTTTATTCAAGCATGTTATCTAAGATGTTCATACTGCTTTTTCACCCTTACTGAAACCAACAAGAAACGGCTTACAGTCTTTTACAGGACTGATATCTTCAGACTATACTTGATATTTTTCAATGATTGTACTAATTGTCGCAACTCTTTAATTTTGCATAGATGCATTACTTCACCGACTAATATGCCTAGTATCCGAGAAGTAGTATGCCTAATTGCATCATTTCGCATCCAACGGTCCCAGTTTATGTGATGGAAGCCACAAAGGAATCTATTGTTCTAACACCCATAGCTTTGTTTAGACCTTAAACTTGGCTTTTCAGCTGTATATTAAACAGAAGTGTAGTGCTTTACCGAAATCATTGTTAGATGGGTTTAGTGAATGTCGACAGGAGTTTATGTATCTGTTTCACTATTTTGTTTGTGATCTAGTGCATGCTCTTAAGAGATGGTTCAATGTTCTCTTGATAGGTAGGAAAATGTATTGAATACATATTTTCAATGTCATGAAGACCTCTTACTTGTTCATGCACAATACAGCTTTTCAAACTGTTTGCCATTTTTCAGTCTACTAATAGGCATGCATATTCACCGTAATTACTCTTCATCTCTGTGATTGCCATCATAGGTCACCACCAGTTATAGGAAGATTAGAAATTGTGAAACACTTTCTTTAGTGTTTTGGGGATACATTTTTGAAGAGTATTCTTAGACTGGCGATCGACAAGTGTAGAATACTCGTGAGTTCTCAGTGGTTTCCTAATTCATGTCTTTTCGGGATAGGAACTTTCTTGGAGTTTTTATTGTACTAACTGTAGTGAATATTTCTCAAGTCTAATTTATAATGAATGGTTTGACATTTTTTTTTCTCCTTCTTTTTTTCCTTCTGTCTATATTTCAGCATCAACTGTTGAATAACTTGTCATCTTCTGTTTCTCATTCTCAAAACTTCGTGCTCCACCCAGTCTTTTACTCTCAGAACTCTGTACATCATTCCAGTCCAACTGTATCGAATAACCCTAGGAATGTATTGAATCCTCATTCCCAATTTGATCCAGTTTGGTCTGATGATACAAATATGTCACATGGAATTTTTAATTCAAAAGATGCTCCACACATATTGTCAACCAATAAACATGATACACTATTACCAAACTACACTGAACCGTCTAGTGTGTGCTCAATGAATTCTAGTTCAATGTCACAAACGTATACACCAGCTACAACTGAATTTGTAGATACGCTTTTCGGTTCGTTTGATGATTCTGGTTTAGTTGAATTAATGGATACAGCAGATTCCTCATCGATTGCATCATTTCCTGTTTCACTGGGTTTAAACTGTCAATTGGCACTTGATTGAGTTAATATTTTGAACGTCACAAATTGAGTCTACTGAACAGTTTTATTTCTCAGTTCTACGTTCTTACGTTGGAATATATCTTTTATTCCCATCTGCAGATAGACAGAAAAATTCTCGCTTCCTTATTTTCCCTAGGTTTAGTTTATGAATCCTAAATTTCCCACCTCTATCTGGTTTAGGCATCATTGTGTTCTCGATACGCTTTTTTCTTTCTCAAGCCCTTTTCGATCACAGTGCATTACCTACGAAGATAAAAATCCTCATTATTTTGACCGCTTATTTCTGTGGCGTTATTGATTACACGGACGAAGACAATAAAAGAGTAACAGGCTTACTTAATCTCCTTCATTTTATGCTTTTTCTTTGTAATATTTTCCTAATTGACTATACCGCTCTGCTGTTGCTGGTGATGACGTAATAGGATGTTCATTTATCTTTGTGTATATCCTACCAAATGGGAATGTAAAAAACGTTGTAAAAAAAAATCCTATTTATATTTCTTAAATCAACACCTAGACCCTAATGTAATTCAGCTGTGTTTATGTAGTTGAGTAAAACAAAACACTATCTTTTGGCTGTATATTGTACATTGAACGCCTATGTATGTACTGTTAGGAATTTAGGCTGTAATCCTCTTTTTAAAAAATCTATAATACCTACCTTTTTGTAATTATTTACTTCCTCCACGTTTTTTGTATATGATTGCAGTGGTTGTTATAATATTCGTATGCACGCGTACCTACCGCCTATTTCAATGAATTGCCAAATTACCAGCGCATATCTTTGCTGATTAATGTTCGCCAATTTTCTTTGTCAAAGAAAAACAACTTTTGCTCTACTAGTTCGCTGTTGGTGTTATTGCCACAGAAATTGAGAAAGAGAATACATTCTCAATGCATTACTTTTGTGTCTAAATGAATATTGCATCACCTCTTTCTATGTATGTATATGCATGTGTATTTACCAATTGTTTTTCTCTCTTTTTTCCGGTTGTTTATAGAATAGGCATCTTTTTTATTTTTATTCAAGGAAAGAGATATCATTCTAGCATTTTTTTGTTGTTGCTTATTTAGTACATTTTAATTTGCTCTCTGATTCAAATAATAGACTATTGAACAAGTTCAGAGTTTTTATTTGCTACTTCTATGGTTTCTTGCTTTCGTTGAGTGGCATTATTACTACCTACTGTTGCTTAGCTTTTGAACCAAATGACGCAGTGTATGTTGTGCGTGTGTACATGTTCAACTTTGTTATCAGTGAGCTTGCTGAGATGATCTAATAGAAAGTGGTTCTTTGTATAATGTGTAAAAACGGAGCTAGTAAGTTTGCAGAAAGACACTTCTTATGATTGTATTGTTTATCTTGCCTCTTTACTTCCACGTTTCATTTTCGTGCGTGTTTTGTGTACAATAGAGAGGGTGATCAGCATCTTTCCTTATTCACTTGATCCTCCTACCATCTATTATTATTATTATTATTATTATTATTATTATTATTATTATCGTTAGTGATAATGAAGTTAATAAATTGTTGTAGAGGAAATGTGAGAAGGACAAATCAGCTGATGGATTGTTAACTGCTTTTTTTTTATCTATTAGATTGCTTTCTCAACGAATAAATAATTATTGCGATTGAATTGTATTCTGCTTTATAAAACGAACATTTTGGATGGTGTAATTAGAAGACGAAGTTTATCTGAACAGTGTGATGTGTTTTGCTCAATACATTTCGAACAATCTGATCACAAATTCACTCGTCAATTCAATTTATATTCAACCGAAAAGTGGGAGGACAAATATAACAATTAAGATAATAGGAGATTAAAATTAAGAAAGATGAGAACAAACAAGAAGTTACATAGTTGATACTAATCTTGATAAGAAAACAAAGTTTACCAAGGTAGGTGTAGTGTAAGAACAAATTGTTTTTGTATACATAAATTACTGTTGTACAAATACGATAACTTTTTTGGTGAGCTATGTAAAGGAAAGCATCCTTTAGACGTACTGTCGATAACTATCACGCATTTCAATTTGTGTATGGCTATGGCTTCTGCAAATCTCAGAATACGTCCCCGAGAGTTTCTATTTGAAACTTTGAAAGCTGTTTGAACACTAACTTTGTGACCCGTTTCTATGATATGTTTAGCTATAGATGAAAAGGGTCGTCTCCCACCTGCGTTTATCACTGTTTCCTACTCCATTTGTTTTTGAAGCCATTTAAGTACATGTTCTCCCACCCTCAACTGCATGAGTCGACCACTCCTCCCGATGCTTTTGTGACCACACACACATGTA